TATCTGTGTTTGCAGGCCACACAAGATATGGTGAGATACAGTGGCTTAATGCTTTGAGAGGAGACTAGCTTCATGGAAGGCGTGGTATCTCTCATTTGGAAGCCGTATAACTCTTAATCAAGGTAACTCTCTGTCAAATCTGCCTATTAACTGCTGTGGCGAACAGATTCGAGAGGCTCCTACTTATATGGAGAAGGTTATAAATGTCATTTTGTTAAACAGGAGCAGTGCTTCTTGAATGGGCTCGTGCCAAGGACTCGGCTCTTCCCGAGCCAAGTTAAATAAAAAAAAAGAGAGGGAGGTGCCTTTGACCTTGTGCCCAGGAGAGAGAGAAGGTCATGGGCATGGCCACATCTCTTCCTCTCTCTCTCCCTCACAGATATCAAGATCAATGTTCGAAAATTCGCCCTCCCAGCCGCCTAGAAGGAAAAATTTCCAAACTGTCTAGGCGCTAGTTAGGTGGGACTATTAGGCATCCTGTGTCTAGGCGGCCGCCTAGGCGCCACCTTGTGCAGTTTGTCAAATGTCGGAAAAACCCTTGGTGAGGGTCAAAATTTGCCTTTTTTCCCCCGAAAAAGTCGGAAAAGGTCTTGGGGAATATTCTAAACCCCCAAAACTGATACCATGCCTTTTAGAGAGAGAAAAACTCCTCAAAAACCTTTCTTTTGTGATTTATTGAAAGATCGATAAATTTTCGATTTCTTCCCAAAACAAAGGCAATAGTTCATGGGTGTTCTTCGATTTCAAGATCTCTCTTCGATTTCCTCCTCTCTCAGCTCTCTCTTTCTCTCTCTCTCTGATTTCTCCCTCTTTCATCTTCCTTCAATTTCTCTCTCTCTGCTCTCTACCCCCCTCATGATTTCTCCATCTCTCTCTTGCTCCCCCTTGATTTCTCCCTCTCAGCTCTCTCTCTGATCCCTCTCCCGTTGATTCTTTTTCTCTCTCTCTCAGCTCGCTCTCTCTATCTTTGATTTCTCCCTCTGTTTGACCTCTCTCTCACAGATCTCTTCCCCTAATAGAGAGAGATGACAATGGGGACAGACTTCTACCCCCTTTTAGAGGG